GCCACCTTTCACATTCGTATTTTGTACTACGAAAACCCATATTTGATGGTCTAGTCATGCTGGTCTTTCGAGCTTCAGTGCCTAGGCAAAGCCATGTCGGCCGGTTACCAGGGCGGTCTTGTTTCGCCCCCCCCCAGAAAAATCGAGATGCAGACTTCCATCACAACTGTCGTGTCTCCCTCGGTAGATAGATAACCCCCATCGAAAAGAAGAGGGACCATTTCCAAGGTCGACAGACCAGTCGCGAAGGGAAAACCCAATCACACATACAAAAGAGATCTAGAAAACTCTAAACTACCCACGCTAATGTTCCTGTATCCCCGTAGTCCTAGTATTATCATAATATCCTAAATGCCGTATCCCTAATGTGTCCTCGTATTCCTAGCGACAGAAAAAGAAAAAAAGACGAGCGAGTGCCTCCCGGCTCAAGTCAGAGAGAGGACATCTTCAAAACACCCGCCGCGGCTGACAAGCAGCCAATGTCGACTGCTCCAATGCGGCGAAAGAGAGCGAGAGAAGACACACCGAGAGAAGAGAGAGGGAAAGAGAGAGGCTTCAACCACGCCTGCCCTTCTTCTTGTTCTTCCTCTTGTTCTTGTTGTTGGGCTTCGGTTTCTCGTGCGTATCAGGAGCCTGCTCGCCCTCCAAGGCCGGCTGATCGTGGTGCGTGTGTGAGTTTGACGCTTCGCCCGCACTACCGCCCTGGTTCCAAGAGCCGGTCGTCGTCGCACCCGCACCAGACTCGGGCTGGAGGTCAGTCGGGGGAACGTCGACGCGGGAGGGCGCGTCCAAGTTCCTCGATGGCTCCCACAGAGACGCGTCGGAAACATGAGCGGGATAAGATTCGTGTGAAATATTGAGAGATTTGAAACTCTGCGGGATCTCCAGAGTAGTGGCCGCGTGGTAGAGCGGCGGGTAGGGGGACATGGGAAAGCCCGTTCCGATCATCGCTGCCTTCATCTTGCTCAGGACCTCCGCTCTGTCCCTCTCGGCCTTGGCCTTGTCCACGGTTGCGCCTGTAGAGTAGTCTGGACCCTCCTGCAAAGGGCCAAAAGCCTCGAGCAGCCATTCCCGAAACTTTCCTTTGCTCGGATCTCCGTCCACGGTCTCCTCGAACCACTCTTGAGGAAACCATCCGGCAAAGTCGTCGAATGGGGCGGCGCTGGCGACTTCGTAGGGATGAATCGGGTGCGGGACGAGCTCCAAGCAGTGAATGCCATCGGCGGCATCCTTCACGTGTTTGGTCGTTGACCAAAGGCGTGCGCGACTGAGATCGAGGAGAACCGTCCGAGGCTTGTCGAGATCGCGAGTTCCGTCTCGCATTGTGATGTAGACATGGCGAGGCTCATAATCGCCATCCATAACCCCCGTGTGCATGTGCCTGACGTTGCCGTCGATGAGCTGCCTGAGAACCTCCATCCGCGTGTCGTGGTTGATGTCCAGAAGGACTGGGCGTCCCGTGTCGGATTGGTGAAATTCCAACGGCAACTCATCGTCCGGGACGAGATTACCGTATTCATCTCGGTTGCAGAGATCCTCAATGGAGTAGCCGTCAATGTACTCCATGAGGATGAGAGCCACGGTTTTGTACTGGACGCGCCGTTCGGGAGTCTCGCCGACGGCGAACCTGACCGCCCAAGTACCGTAGTACTGCGCAGTGAGGTGCGGCGGTCCGGTCAAGTTCTTCCGATAGAGATGCTGGTAATGGCAGCTCTCTCGGCTGAGTGCGCCGTCAGCGAGTTCAATGTTGCTGATCGGCGTGCCGTTGTATTTCGGCCAGAGCTTGTGGTCGAAGACTTTGGCCACTACTTGAGTCTGTGGGACGGGAAGCTCCACGTCGGTGTCGCTGTTCATATACTCGGGCGAGGGCAACGCAATGATCTTGCAACGGAAGACTTGAGGTCCGGGATTCAGTGAAAGGCGTTCCAGCACCTCAAGTTCGAGATGCTCATCCTTCAGGAAACATCGGTGAGGGTCGAAGTGGCGAAGATCAGGGCCAGGTGGTGGGTTTGGAAGATACTGAGAGGTGCCATGAGGCTGGACTGGTCTGTACTTGGTGAGATTCAGGATGCTGCCTGGGCAATAATGGTCGGAATCGGCATAAACACGAGACATGTTGCCAATGAAGCCGATGAGAGAGTGGTGTATCAGACTGTTCTTGCGGATGCTATCGGTGACTCTGGCTGCAAACTGAGAATGGAGGAAGGCGGTCAGATTGAGTGGAAATAGAGAAAGCCTTAGGGAATAAGAAGATGAGTAGGTAGTCCAGAAAACTAAGTAGGGTGAGAGTCCCGTCTCCCTTTCTCTTGTTTTTCTTGTCCTCTTCCGCCTCCTCCCTGAGAGGTCTAGAGTGGCGGGAAAAATTTTCTTTCCGTTGAAAAGGCGGCAGCAAACGGATGTGTGATAAATAAGGTTGAAAGTGAGAGTGGGGGGATATTGTAAGTCCAAGTGTCTCGGCTTTTCAGATTGAGGAAGATGTACCTTGCGGGAAGCCACCACAGAGGTTGCACAAGAGACTAGGAAGGTTCCCGTCTCCGAATCAATCAACCAAGGACGAACAAAACTCAACCACACAAGACGCCTCACACAGGCAACGAAGGTGGATTTGCTTCTATCTCTTTCTCCACAGCGGTGATTACTGTAATCTCAAACGGAGGCTCTCCTTTCAAAATGTTGCAAGTAAGCGAGTCGACTTTTCGCTATTGTCGAAGCCAAGGATGTCGGAAAGCTTTATCGCTGGCACAAGTCGTTCATGCGATGGTCCAAGAGTCGAGATACTGGCCCCGAAACTAGAGATGACATGCCAGGAATCCACAGTTTTACCATGTTCGACAGTCGCACAAGCAAACCCATGGCGAGGCTTCTGAAGCAGGCTGCAGCTTATGCCCTCGTTTTCCGTACAAAGTACGTGATCATGACAGACCACGAAGCACTCATGTTCCTTGTCTTTCGCGACATGGAAGTTACAAGCAATTCGACTCCTGCCGATGTGTGGAGAAAGGGTGTTGGGGAGGCGGTTGAGGTGACATTCATCAGACCGCACGATGATGAGCCTTTTGAAGGTCCACTGGCTGGATTTCTTGCGGAGGCACGACAGAAGACCCCGCTGGATACTGTTACAGACTGATTGCTGGATTGAGAGATGAACTCTTTGTGACGGGAAAAACAGGATAGATTGCATATGGTTTGTGCCAGAGGGAAGGATATCTGAGATTCAAAACATAGTTATTTTCGTCATCTTTTCCGGAGTATTCGTCAGTGATGCGAACGAGGAAGAAGTGTGTGGAAAGATGTGGCCTTTCCCAGGTACCTCAAGGTGAGTGCATTATAACAGCGGGGGAAGGAGGTGTGCGGGAGAAGCACGGCATGAGGTCAAGTGCCGTTGGTATTAAAGGACCCACTCCGCCGGGCTGGGCTTACCGGTCCGGCGCCGAGATAACGGGTCCCGGCTGGTGTGGGTCCAATCATTCAAGCTAAGGTCGAGTCCCTGTCTTTTTCCAGGTAGAGGTTCTTTACCACGTGCTCAGGTACCGTCCCGCAGGTACAGAGGCGCTTTGTACGAAGTACCCACGCAGCGGTCATTGGCCGCTCTTCTAACCATTAAGCCTGAGAAAAGCGGCCAACCTATTTTTCTGACCGCGCGGTACCTACCTAGGTAGGTAGGTGCCTTATCTAACTTACCCCAGTTGTTCACGGTAACTAAGGCAAGGTACCTAACGTTGGTTGAGCTCGCGACCAGTCGGCGGAACACGTGGTGCACGACCCTTCGAAGTACCTTAAGGTACTTCGAAAGATACGGAGTACTTCCTTCGTATGCGGAGCACACCCCATTCCATCTCTCCAACACCAACCTCCTACTCTTCCTCCAACTTGTCCAACAACCTCCCGGCGAGGTTTCGATGCGACTGAGGGAAAGTCACTCATCTTTGGCCCCCATTTGCCTCGACCCGCTCATTACCCTTCAACTCGAGTGCTAGCTGGACCTCACTTCTGCGGAGCCACGTGGGTTACAGACACGCAGAGCCCGTGTTGCTTGCTTTCTCTCGAGTCTTTACAAGCCTCGCTCGGGGAGAGCAGAGGTCATCCCCGCCCCCTGCCGCATTCCACCCATAAGTATGGATGGCTTCCTCAACTTTTTTCCCGAGAAGGCCCATCGGGTCGCCGGCCGCCTGGCTAAAGTCCCTCCTCATCGTTGCTAGTTTCCTCATCTTTGTCCAACTTGCCCTCCCCCATATCATGGCGCCCAAGGCTTCCGCTCTGTTGGCCGGCCTTGCTGTCTTCGGCACCGGCACCGGCAGCAGCGCCGGCGGTGTCGTGAATGCAGCTGGTGGTGTTGATCTGAGCTGGTACGCGCCCGCTCGCACAGAGGTCAATAATCTGACCGCTGTGATCAACGGCAAGGGTGTCTGGGGTTTCATTTATGACACCTCGGAGACTCCCGACGACAGGTACGGGCAGTACAACTGGTGCAACATGCCGCATGTGCGCAAGACGGAGTATGTGAAGCCGTCGGATGAGTTCGAGCTCAAGTATGTGGAATTAGTGAGTAAACGAACCGAACCCCTTTCTACTGCTTCCTTTTCCATTTCCTCTTCCTCTTCCTCACACACTGACTTGTCCATAAGGTTCACCGCCACCACAAACGCACGCCCTACGCCTCCAACGCCTTCCCCGTGGAGCCGTACCAGTGGAACTGCGACGACCAAGGGCTCTTCTATTACGGCGAGCCCTTTGCCAGCAGCAACAGGCCGGCAAAGACCTACTGGAAGGTCTACATCTCCCCCGTCAATCCCTTCGTCCCCGCGGGCTGGATAGGAACCTGCCAGTTTCCCCAGATCACCGCCCAGGGCCTCGACGACTCCTGGGTTCACGGCGCCGACCTCTACGGCGTCTACCACGATCTCCTAGGCTTCATCCCCGGCCATGACACCGTCAACTCGCCCGAGTGGCACCGCAAGATCAAGTACCGCGTCACCAACAACCAAATCACCAGCCAGGTCGCCGGCATGGTCGTCAACGGCATGTGGGCCGCCACCGACTCCCTCCAGCTCAACATCCAGGCCGCCGGCGTCGACTCCCTCGAACCGCAGTACCCCTGCCCCGCCGGCTACGCCCTCTTCAACCGCATAAGATCCGCCTCCAACGCCGCCTGGGCCCAGCACCTCGCCGCCGCCGGCCCCCTCTACGCCGTTCTCGACGACATCTCGGGCGTCCCCGCCGACGACGAGGGCTTCCACGCCTCGCTGGACCACTACTACGACAACCTCTCCGCCCGCCAGTGCCACGACAAGCCCTTCCCCTGCAAGCTCGTCGGCGGCGCCAACTCCACCACCTGCGTCACGCAGGACCTTGCCGACGCCGCCTACCGCCTGGGCCACTGGGAGTACTCCCAGCTCTACCGCGACAGCCCCGACTCCCTCGCCGCCAGCGTCGCGGCGTGGGGCGTCTGGGTCGCCGAGCTCGCCGTCCACCTGCGCGCCGTCGTCGACGGCACGAGCGAGACAATCTACTTCCACAACGTCGCGCACGACGGCTCCGTCTCGCGGCTGCTGTCTATCCTGCAGCTCGACCACATGGTCTGGCCCGGCATGGGCTCCGAGGTCGTCTTTGAGCTGTACAAGAAGCGCGGGGCGGACGACGGCGGCGAAGGCGGCGCCGTCAAGAGCCCTCCCGCGGCCGCATCCACATCCACGCCTGGCTCGGTTGAGAGTGGCTGGTACGTCAGAGTCCTCTGGGGCGGCCAGGTCCTCAAGTCGTCCCATCCGGCACTGGGCCTGATGGATATGGTACCCGTCGAGACGCTGCTGTCGTACTTTGAGGGGTTGGTAGGAGAGAACGCCAGCCTGATCAAGGGCAAATGCGCGTCTTGAGCGTCCTGTTGATGCTCATATGGTTCGCCGGGAAGTGGCCATCCCCTTTTCAGCACGTAGAAACGCCCCAGTGTATACTTAGCTCGCCGCTGTACCTAATACATAATGATAGTCGACCTTGCCCCTCGTGGCGCCCCCGCTTTGGATCACACAAGGTTTGAACGTAGTATTTTCTCTTTGAAAGGCTAGAGTAGACTACACTCCTTCTCGAGGTCCGTCCAACGCCCATTACGCATAGGGTCCAGCTGGCGCACTTTGGTCATCCACGTTTGTAATTCTTCCGTCTCTTCTTCGTTGAGCTCTCTTCCTTCAACGCGCGGCAGCGCCCTCATGTAGTCCAGCAGCGCCTTGTATATCCACGTAATGTCATCGTAGTCTTCCAAAAGGTCCTTGATATCTTCAATCTCACGCCTCACGTAGGATGCCTTTTCCGTACTTGACAGACTCGGCGCGATCTTGGGCCGGCCATCTGGCTCGGTCATGTTCTGGACAAGGAAATGGTGGTAGAACCAGAGAGACTGGTCTTCTGGGCCCACGTTTAGTGCTTCACGGACGAGATCGAGTTCTGCTCTTCGTTAGCCGACTTCTCACTCGTAAACTCCATGAGAGGATGTATGTGTATAGGGTCATCCTTACCGTCTTCCAGAAACTTTTGCCGCGCCGCGTCGTCGGCGCCGCGCTCCTCTAGCAGGCGGGGTATCAAGTTGGAGCGGTTATGCCACGCCGAGAAGTTGGACAGGTCCGTGTTGATCATCTTTGTCGTGTACGCGAACTCGGCCTCGACCAGGCTCGCGCCGTCGAGCGCCGCGCTTTCGAGGGTGGCGACGACTTTGCGCCGGTAGCCCCAGGCGTGGAAATTGCGGCGGTCCTTGGTCAGCATCTTGGAGACCAGGCCGAGCTCCTCCTCCCATATGCGACGGGCGATGGGTTTGGGTAGTATATCGATAGCCTGCTGGAGGAGCCAGGAGCGGTATTTCCAGATCCAGTAGCTCTTTGGGAACTCCAGAAGGAGGGGGATCGTGAACATGAGCTCGTTCTTGAGGGTGTCGACCACCTTTTCGTCGTTGACCGCCGGCGGCGGCGGCAGCTGCGCATCAGCTGTTGTACCACTCTTCCCACTCCCTGGGACCGGTGGGGACGCGTGGCCTGGCGGGATCGCGGTCGAGGAAGAGGGCGACGCAGCGGCGGAGGACGGAGGCGGAGTGCATGCTGCTGATGAACTCGCGGGCGGCGCCGACGGCGACGGCCCAGGCGAGGGTCTTGATAATGATCCACAGGTTAGGCAGCGCCTGCGGACGTTCCATGCCGTGTAGTGCTCCGGGTTCAGGCGCAGGAGCTTCGTGGTCAGGGCGAGGGTGGCCGGGTCGGCCGGGTCGGCGGGCCGCGGCGAGGCGCGGAGGAGGGCGTCTTCGAGGGCGCGGAGGTTGGCGATCTTTGCGAGGTCGGCCTGGAGCTGGGCTTCGGTTCGTGGTTTCCGGGCTGTGCGGGCTATGCCGTGCTGTTCGTTTTTGGATGGTGAGCTTTGTGAATATGGGAGGGAATGGGGCCTGTGTAGATGATCTTGGCGATTATGGGGTGTTTGGAGATGGGATGGAGATGTTGTTTGATGGATAGAGGGACGCTGGTGGTGATACTTACGCTTTCCATGGGGATCTGAGGGGTGCTCTATGAGAGCGGGATGATCTGACAGGAAAAGGGGAGGTCGATCAGGGAGGACGGAGAGAAATTACAGTCTGCTCAAGGTCAAGTTTGGGGGCCGGGGGGTTGAAGGCGCTGCGAGCTCTGGGTGGCATGAAGCTGATACGGGAACTTGCGGCAGCGCGGGCGGCGCGCGCTAGAGCAGGGATTCCCCACTGCCCCGTCACGTCCCTCAAAGTACGTCAATTTAGCCAGTGGCCCGAGCTCCCGGTGAAGAAGACCCCGAGCACCGTCGTACGTACTTCCCCACGTGCTACCTGCCTAGGTAGGTTACCTATCTTAGATACCTTACGGTAAGGTACCTTATTACCACTTTCCTCGAGCAGTTGTCTTACACCTCCACTTGTTGCCTCATCACTGTAACAAAGCTGATCACGGACTAGGTACCTTATCCAAAGGCGAGTGCCAAGTCAGGCCTGAATGCATTTTTTTGTATGGCCTGGGTAATAGAGATGAAGAGCGTCTCGAAAATGAAAAGACTGAACCTTACTACCCGGCCTGGAAGTCGAGGTCGTGTTCTTAGTTGGCTATCCAGACGGGGAATCAACAGTATCGCCCCTCCCATTGCGTTCAGACTACGGGATAAAATCAGGCTTTCACCATTTTTCTTCCATCTTGTTGTTCAACACTACCCTTATGCTCCTAGTTGTTGCCCTAGTCCACACTTTCTGTTCCGCTACCACGTTATTCAGCTGTCGCACAAGACTGAGCTAGCCATGATCTGAATCGATTCGATCAGCTTTGGCCAGAGCTTAAAACCATCGCACCTGAGAAAGAACTGACCGAGCTGACCTGCACAGCTTCCTGTGACGACACTAGCTACTGACGTCTATACAATGACACACCGATCTACTTGGCCTCCTTTCCCTTGCTCTTCTTCTTCTTTCTCTTCACCATCCGCCCCCCTAAGAAATCATCTCTCCCTAGGACATGCATCGCTACATCCCTCGACGAGACGGAACTCCCCTCTCTGAAAAGATCCGCATGAAGCAAGACCATCAGCCACGGCCTACTACACCGCCTGCCTGCCGTCTCCTCCCCGCTCCCGTCTCCGTCGTTGGACCGTCGGTCTTGTCCCCAACTTCTTACAAGCGCCCCTCTCCGGCCTCGTCTACTCCCTGTAGACGAATTAGAACAAATTTCTTTGGGCCACGGCCGAAGGAAGAAGAGGAACACCAACGACACGAAGAGAGATTGGCTGAAGCCTTGGAGATCGATAAGGCTGCCAAGATCCTCGATTTCAGGGTTCGGCCGGCCCGAGCACTGAGGACAGAGTATACAACCCAGGCAATCGCATCTTCCACGGGTAAGCTGCGGTTTTCTGACGACCATATGTGCTTCATTAAGCTTACACTCCTTGTTAGACTCAACCAAATTACAACGCAGCCTGCCAGCGGCGCCGTACAAAGTCCTCCAAGCGCCGGGCCTCGAGGATGACTACTACCGCTCGCCCTTGGCCTACTCTTCTACCTGCCGATGCTTAGCTGTGGCTCTGGGAAACACCGTCTACCGATGGTCGGAATGGCATGATCCCCAGCCTGTCTACCGCACTCCTCACCAGCGACATACGAGCCTGACATCTCTGTCATTTTCCTCAACCGAGGGAAACAAGGCCATTCTGGCCTTTGCACGCAAGGACGGTTACTTTGGTCTTCTGTCGTTCATTGACGAAATGCTTCCGCGGTTTTGGTTTCACCACCCGTTTCCGATCGAGTGTGTCAGCTAGCGGCCATCAGTGACGAAAAGACCATCCCAAAACCCCTTCATCTCGAGTGCTACAGTGCCAACAGAGGACCTTCTGGTTGGCGATGGTCGAGGAAACATCCTGCACTATATCGTTGAGTGGCCCAGCTTGTGGGAGGTATCCCGTGACACTTGGTTTGGTAAAGTGACGCCCGTTGCCAAGATTGCAGCGCATACCTCGCAGATTTGTGCACTAGTCTGGTCTCCCGATGGTCAAGACTTTGTTTCCGGGAGCAACGACAACACGGCCTGCTACTTTGAGATACAACGATTGGACAAACAGCACAGGGACCACAACTCATCCACGACTCAGACCCGTAAAAGCCGCCGGTCAAAAAGTGATTGGAGCCTGCCGGGAAGAGATAACATGTACTCTCGACCAAAAGAGTATGAAACGAGCGGCAATGGATCGAGCCCTGGCGTGGAGACCATGTTCGACGTCACTCCGATAAGTGCAACAATCGAGGCTGGTGTTATTGGAGGCATCCCTAGAACGATACAAGCGCCTACAGAGGACTTTCGAGTGTTCAAAAGAGGAATGGAAACGCACTGTTGGCGACATGAGGCTGCAATAAAGGCAATCGCATTCTGCCCCTGGCAGAACGGGCTCGTTGCCACCGGCGGCGGCTTGGGTGACAAGTGCATCCACTTCTTCCACACGATGTCTAGCACACCACTGGCCACCATCGATGTCGGTGCGCAGGTCACCTCATTGATCTGGTCTACGACACGGCGGGAAATAGCAGCTACGTTTGGCTACAGCCATGGCTATGCGCAAACCGAGCACCCCTATCGTCTTATTGTCTTCAGCTGGCCGTCTTGTCGGCAAGTCGGAGCTATTGCTTGGGCGGGTGGCCCACGGGCCTTATACGCCATTCCGTACCCAGGAGGACCATCAGATGCACCCAAGGGAAGTCGTACGGCAAAAGAAGGAACTATTGTCGTGGCATCGAGCGACGAGACTCTCAAGTTTCATGAAGTCTGGCAGGACAAGCCAAAATCGACTACCGGAGGCGCCGTTGGGATGTTGGGCGGTAGTGACATTCTCGAGGCACTTGGTGGGATCGATAAGGATGGAGACGTCATTCGATAAATCGCGAGAGGAGATAGCTGCCTGCTTCAAGGAATTATCGAGTTTACAAGTAACGTCAAGTCGTGTAACATGAAGTATTCGTCCCGTTGACACACTAGAGCCCTATTTACATAGAAAGGTGGAGCGCATGCATCATCAACCTGGAAGGTCGACGTGGACAACACGCAAAGCACTGCAGTTCTAGGCCCCGATTTACTCAGCTAGTTAGGTGACCCCCAAATCACCGGAGGCGCTAATACCCCAGGCACCCTTGAAAGCATACCGACTCAAAGACCCCTGTCACTGCGGCGCCGCCTACATACTGCGTACACAGAAACGTAACTCACAGTCCTTGTTGCGGACGACCTGACGTCCTGAGCGCTTGTCTCACACCCCCCGTCTCCGTCCATCCCCCCCGTTCCCCAGCGCATGAACACCTCCAAAACCTCCCCCGAATCCGCAACCACTCCGGATCTTTCAGGAACAACGTTTGCACCCATCGTCATCCCTTCCAATCTAAATCTCCTGCTTGTGAACTCTGCCATCCACTACGAGCATCGGTCGGCAATCGTAACACACACATACACCTCACGGGAAATAAACTTGAAAATCTATCCCCACAGAGACATTTGCGACTACATAACAGACCAAGAACATGTCCACCCTGAACCAGCTTTACCTGCTCGCCGACCACGTCAAGCTCTCCCTCCTGGAGCGCCAGCGCGCCCTGTCGCTCAACCTCGACGCCGACACCCAGGACGGACACATCTCTCGCTCGCTCGACCAATTCAAAGATGGCCTGGAAGCATTAGACGCCGAGGCCAAGCGCCTGCAGGGTACCGGCGATGAGAGGTGAGCTTCCTCCTCCTTTGGTCCTGTCCCCTTACCTATACGACGGAATCCTCCAGAACCGACGTTCATGCCGGAATTTTCTCCGAGTTCTGCGCGAGAGCATCGTGACCCATATTCTCTGCGTTATACGGTATGCTAATCTGGACGCTACTTCCCGCAGCGCCGCCCTGAACATCACCGACTCCCTCCCCGCGCTGCAGAAGCAATTCTCAGACCTGACCTCCCAATTCCACGGGTTCTCGAACCCCTCCACCTCCTCCACCACAACCTCGCCAAACGACCCCTCCCTCGCCGCCGACTTTGACGCCGCCCAGTCCACGAAACCCCTCAAGGGCTCCCTTCGCGGCCTCCCCGGCGGTGCCGCCGCCGCAAACAACAGCAAGACCGTCCGCTTCACCGATTCCCCCGGCGCCGCAGCAGCAGCGGAAGAAGACGCCGCCGCCGCAGCACTCTTCGGCCCCGGCCGGTACCGCGACGACCCGGCCGACACGGCGGGCTACCGCGACCAGGCCGAGGGCATGGACAACCAGCAGATCCACGCGTACCACTCGCAAATCATGCGCGACCAGGACGACCACCTGGACCGGCTGGGCGAGTCCATCGGGCGGCAGAGGGAGCTGAGCATGCAGATCGGCGACGAGCTCGACTCGCACGTCGCCATGCTGGACGAGGTGGACGAGGTCGTGGACCGGCACCAGGGCCGGCTCGACCGGGCGCGCCGGTCGCTGGGGAAGGTCGCGCGGGACGCTGGGGAGAATAAGCAGATGATGACGATTGTCGTGCTCATCATCATTCTGGTTTTGCTGATTGCCATTCTGAAATGATGAGCGAGGGTATGAAAGGATGAAAGGATGGGGAAGAGAGAAGCGGCAGCAGCAGCAGCAGCGGATGGGTCATAGTCATGGACGGGCAACCTCTCTTTGATTTTTGTCTGTTTCGTTGGGGTTTCCCTCTTTGGTTTGGGACCCGTCCTCGTCAGAGAGACAGGCGCGGGAGACATATAGGTACTTGTTTAAAGTCTTTCGAGTATAAGGCGCATAGCATGGTTTGGCGTTGTAGGAGTCTTTCTTTCAATCAGAGTCAATTTCTTCGTCTATTATAGCAATCATTCTTTAGATATCTCTCGGACATGTATTCCGACGGGATCCGTGAAGAAAGCCTACGCGGCCCCAGGTGAACTAGAAGGAGGGGGCCAACGGAACTGAATGGTTGATCCACATTTTGGTAATGTATCACCATGAACGTGAATGCGCTCCTGCAAAAGGTATGCATTTGAAAATGCCTTTTCGCACTTCAAAGAGTTTCACCTTCATTTTGCTGTCGTTGAGCCTTCATATATGCACTCCGACCCACCGAATCTCGAAGCCACCAAAGTAGTTTCATCGTCGGTCTATTAGTCTAGTTGGTTAGGACGTCGGATTCTGATTCTCAGAACCTTCCGTAGGCCCAGGTTCGAATCCTGGATGGACCTCTTTCCCTTTTGTCACTTTCGAATATGATTCCAATCTCGCGATAGTGATATTAGCATTCTTTTTGGGTTTATATTACATGAGGAACATTTTAGTTCGTTACTTGATGATGACGGGAGTTCAGGCGGTACTGCTGTGATGGCTTCACTCTATAAGGCCAAGCCTCACTTTGTTACAACATGCCAGTCTTGGCCCCGACGCCATGTCATTCTGCACATATTCAACATAGAATTGCTTCCATAATCGTCGTTCGACTGAGAACTATATTCAACGAGACTAACAGATGACAAGCCTCGTCGGGTCTTAGGCAACGTTAACTTTAATAAACTCTTAGCTAGTAAAACAAACTCCCGCCTTCGCATGTTTTCGAACAAAGAAGCCTATTTCAACTTTTCTCTCACACACACTTACACACGACTTCTATATCCTCACAACGATAGCCTCCCGCACCAAACGATCCCGAACGCCCCCAACAGCAGCAGCATTCACAAACACAGTCCTCCCCGTACCCCTCCGTCCTCCATGCCACCACAGCACCCATCCCCAGACCAGGAAACACCAACCCAGAGCAAGCAAGGCCCTGAACCACGCCGTCACCACATTGCCCACACGACGACCGATATTAACTCCAACACCACCACCACCACCACCGCTAGCAACCACGGCAAAAGCCTCGGCCTCCAACAAGACAACCGCCTCATACGCCGCCTGCAACCCGTCAAACGCGACCGCCTCCCGCCCGCGACCGCAGTGCACGTGCCCGAAAACGTGCAGACGCGGCCGCGCCCGCCAGACTTCGGCCAGGAGCATTTCGCACCCCCAGTGGCCGCGCGGGTCGTCCATGTGGCCCTTTGGCGGCGCGTGGGTGACGAGGATGTCTGTCCCGGGAGGGACCGTGCCGCGCCAGGGGTCGGAGGTGGCGTTGTCGACGTCCGTCGTGCGCCAGGAAGAGGAGGAGGAGGAGGAGCAATAGGGGGCAGCGCCGCCGGAGCGCGGGTACTGAAAGGCCCAGTTGCCGTGCCGCGGCGTATACGGACTACCGTAGACGCGAATCTCGCGGCCAGCGTACGTTCTGTCCCCGTCGTCGGGACGGCGCGGGGGTATCGTGAGTGTCGTTGCTGTGCGGTTTAGGTAGATGATGTCGCCCCAGCCCAGAGGTGATCCGTCGTCGTCGTCGTCGTCGTCGTCGTCGTCGTCGTCGTCTTCACCATCTCTGCGTGACATCGAGCTCCCCTCGCCGTCTCGTGGCCGTCCACCAAGCTTGATCCCCTCGCCATACCCCTTATCCAAACACAAATCGTGATTCCCCGCCACGACGACCTTGAACCGGTGAGGCTGCGCCCGGATCCACCCCAGCGCCTCCCGCAGCTCCCTCCTCGTGCCCGAGGCCGTGAGGTCGCCCGCGTGCACGAGGACGTCGCCCGGCGGCAGGCGCGGTCTGGTGTTGTGCGTGTCCGAGACGCAGACCACGGTCACGGCGTCGTCGTTTCTGTCGTTGCCGCTGCCGCTGCCGTACGTCACGGGATGCGAAACGGGGAAAAAGTCGTAGAGGTATCTCGCACCTGTCGAAAGGGGGCTGGAGAGGAGACGGGTTGCTATCCCGTCGTCTTCTGGGCGGTGGAGGATGGCGTCCAGGCCGGATGAGGAGCGGGAGAGTGGCATGTTCGTCTATCTCTTTCGCTCACTCTTTTGCCTCTGTGCTGTTTTGGGTGATGTGAAATGCCATGTATCCTGAGTTTTTCTTCAACCGTAAGCCCTCCGATAGCACTTTTTCGAAGAATGGTGCCTGATTCGTGTAAGTCGCCAGGTGTCTTCAACGCTGCTTTGCCCCTGATGAGGTGAGACGGACGAAATCGTTATATATCTCTCCAGCGAAAAATGATGTGACGCAAAATCGCGGACCAAAACCTGCGAGTCTGTATAGTCACTCTGACAAACGACAAGAAAGAAAACCAGACACAATCACGGAGGGCGGGTAAGTTCCATCACAAGTGAGAAAACCTCAAGCCATCTCCGATGAGTCTTACAAGGTGGTGAGAGAGTTCTTTTTGCACCACTCAGAAAGCCCCCGCGTGATTGCCCCTCCAATGGAAATGACATGATTGTGACAAAATCACCAGATCTGTGTGTTTTCTTCCCCCGTAACGTGGGTCAACTTTCTGACGAGACCTGGCAACGCCATTTGCGACGACACCGTAAAAATCGTAACGCGCTTTTGGGTGAACAGATGGACTGCTTGGTATTCTTTGCTCAAACATGCCTACCATCTGATCAACACAAATTTGAACACCTTGACGAGAACCTCACTTTTTACCCCAAGAGGGTCGGTCCCCTCATCTTTCGCTGCTCCATGGGAAATCAATACATAGTTGCTAGTTTGAGTGGAACCCCTCAGACTCGGAAAGATGGTTGATAGAAACGGTGGATCAATACACATGAGCATGCTCTACTATGCTTTGACCAAAAACAGATTCCAAAGGCCGTCATGGTAAAAAGAAGGCGGTTCATATCGCATCAATCGCAGTTACCAAATACCTCACCCTGGCCTGGATAAGTCCGAGTGATTCAAACATAACCGACATCACAATCAAGTCAAGTCAACTCTCTGTCAAGAATCTGGGTATGCATATTTCCTTTCCGATGAGAGACTAGGTATTTGTAAGATGGAGGAAAATAAAAGCGACAGCAACGACGACGCCGACAAAACACCACCCTCCGCCACCGTAGGATAGAACAAAAAAAGCTTTCCGCCAGGAAAAAAATTCCACAAAACTTCTTTTTTTTTGGAAACCCATCTTTCCCCCAACTCATTCCTTGCCAACACAAAAAGGAAACACTAAGTAGCTTGAAGACGTGATCGAGACCCCGACGGGCAAATCAGACAATACGAGGCGGCCCGAGGGATAAACAACATGAAACAGTGAGCCCGAGCTAGACAGTAGCCGAGCGTGATATCGTACAGGTAGGGGGGAGGAATATGGACAAGCTTTGTTGTCTCGATTAGCCTCTGCGTATCTCGATTGCTGGGCAACAACTTGCTACCGTTGCACCGTTGCTCCGTATGGAGGGGTTCAGGGGTCTCCTTTGACCCGAGGCATCACCATTTGCGCTGCAGACAGTTGGTGAAGTCTCGTCCCGAGGTTGTGCAGAATTTTGCCTGCCCCTCCAGGTGGGCTTGGTCGAGAGTGAAGGGATGGATGCCCAGATGCCAAACGAGATCGACATAGGATATGTGGTGGATTGAGCTTCCAGCCAACACCGAACGTCCAAAATGCTTGCCAAACACCCGCATATGAACAGCTCTGAGATCCCAGAGCCAGAAAGCCAAGCACTAAGACGCCGCCATGCTGCATAATGATGACATAAAAAAGGCATTACTGAGCCTGCGTAGCCAGACTCGTATTAGAGCATAACCTGAATGTCCAAAGACACCCCTCCAGCTTACGCCGGGTTGCCCTTCATTCTCTTTGCCATCCGCGGCGTAGGCGGCTTGCCCTTGTTCTGGACTCCATTGACCTGAGGACCACCCGGGGTAGGTGCCTGGGAGCCGTCCTCCTCCATCTTCACGCCGGACGGGCGTCTTCGCTTGTTGGAAGCTGGAGACGTGTTTGCACTAGGTCCGCTGGAGCTGGTGCCTTGCTGGCTCTGTTGCATCTGCATGCCGGGTGCCTGCATGTGGCCTTGCGCAGGGCTTCCAGTGACATGAGGCGAGCCAGGAAGCTGCATATGCGGCTGAGCCGGACTCGCACCCATTGGGAACTGACCGAAGCTGGGTGTCCTGGGAGCTTGGGGCATGGGCTGACCGTTCATGACTTGCGGCTGGGCGTTGATCTGGCCGACGTACTGCTCAAGAGCAGCGTAGGGGCCGAGGTTAGGGTGGTTGTGGTAGAAGGCGAAAAGGGGGTTCATTTGGCCGATCACTTCAGCAATCTGCATGTCATCTTTAGTGCCGGAGATCCACATGCATGCGCGGGCGAGCTGTCACATACCTCGAGGAACTGGAACACAGCTTCGGTAACCCCCATACCCCTCTTGACCGCCGACTCCGGAAGATCCACCAGTGCTTCTGGCGGAGGATTTTGCGGGGACTTCATCATACGAGCCTTGCCCTTCTTGCTCATTTCTGGGGAGGCCTTGGTGTCAGGGGAGTTAACCTTGTGCCACTCCTTCACCCAATTATGCACGGGCTTCGCAGCTTCGATAGCGGCCTTTCTAGAAATGTATTCTTCGTGGTTGGTTGTCAAGAATTCAAAGAGTTCAATCTTTTGCTCCGCATCAAAGTGGGCTCTGACGGTGCCCGTAGCGACAAGCTGCGCGCAAGATTAGAAGCTGTATCTGTCCTCGGCAATAGAAGC